CGATGAAACACAAATCAAAGAACTCTTAAAGTAGATGACAACTTTATTACTTCTCTGTATTTACAAAGTGCACGAACAGCACTCCTTACAAAAATCTCGACTAAACTCGAAACCCTAACTAAACTAGCAACTCAATTGCTCTCAAAAGCGATACCGGGAAGCCTCACGCTCCCCCTCTATTTATACATAAAAAACCTCCTACTCAAAGTAGGTGTAGAACTCCTATTCACAATAGAACTCAATAACTCAATTTCCTTTTTCTCGAAAACTACAGCCGCGCCGCACCGAAGTCGGACTCCTCCTGCCGTCGCAGCGAAACTCCAGCCGCCAACCGAGCCGGACTCGGTCTCTGTGTTGTGCCTCCCAGGCCAACTGCCAATCGGACATGCAAGCCCACGTGCTGACGTGCATAGCCTTCCATCCAATCTCAGCACACAGCCACACATGCATGTACTAAACACACGTGTACAGCACACAGCCACACATGCATGATCAACATACATGCATCGATACCATCCATATGCATGCTACAGTACCACGTGTACTGTAGCACCATATACCCTTTTCTCGATTTCTCACTCCAATCTCCTTCGCGAACACCGGCACTTGCACGCACACCTCGTGAAGCCCGTTGTAAAGATCTCTCCCACATGGTGTCCATCCACCGTGTGCCATCTCATATCCAACTTCGTCACCCGGTATTCTTGACCGTCTGGACCTCAACTCCTCCCTGAGTTTAGTTCCGATCCCCACCGTTGACCGAAGTTGACCTCCAAGAATCCAGACTCTAGTCACCTTCTCACATGGTATCCCGACCGCACTAGACCTCTGCTCCTCCCTGAGCATAGTCCCGGTCCTCACCATTGACCAAGGCTGACCTCAAGTCACCTGCACACAATCAGACAAAACAACCGTTTCTGGGCACAGATATCACAACCTGACCCACATTAGTCACACGCACTCACACCAACATCCACACATCTCTCAAACCAATTCTTTGATAAAATCATTTGCACAGCCAATTGTTCATCATAAATATTAATTATGACAATGATTTAACACGAGGATCGAGCAGGAAACCCAAGCCGGCGTACCGAAAGAGGCACTCTAGCATGGCAATCCCGTCAGCGAGCGATACACGCCGCGGCGCCACGCGCGCGCGCGCGCGACAGCCCGGTTCGCGCCCTGAGCGCGCACGCAGTACGTCGCAGCGGCATGATCGCCGTGGTGCAGCTCGCCGTGGCACAGCCCAACCGCCCAAATAAACCAGACGGCCAGATCGACGAGGAACGCACGCCGCGACGACGGACGAACGCCACAGTAAGCATAGTAGCAACCAATCAAGAATTGCAGCTAACTGGTAGTAACAACATTCACATGGATGACTATATGCGACCCAAGATTTGCCTCTGCTCATTTCATCCTTCTCACTGCCGATTAGTATATTGGCCGTTCCTCTATTTAGGGAATATACATGATTAAAAGAAGAAGCTGCAAATGGAGGAAACAATTTTGATCCCTCGAGAGAATGTCGCTCGTTTGTTTAAAGCCATCCAAACAATTACTATGAAAAATTCTAAAAAAAAATTGATAGCACTCATACAATATAAGTATGAGCCGGTTTCTGCAATCGCACACTGTGCTCATCTGGGCCGTGGCAGATCAATGGACGCAGTGGGTTCCGAGAGACGCATCGTGCGTTCCCTGCTTCGATCGGAACCCTCATCTCCGGCGGGCGCTGGTACGCGAGGAGCCACCCACGCGCGCGGCCACCGACACGCGCCGGCATACAGGAAGAAGCACCAACCCTGCTGGCTGCTGCCGTCATGGTGATCCTGTCAGCGAGTGATGTGAACCTGATTCTCGCCACGCCACGTCAAGCCGCGCACGCCCATGACAGCCGGATTCGCGACCATGCTCAGGCAGGCTCGCGCCATGATCCCATGAGCACGCAGCCGCGCAACGTGCAAGATCGCACACCCTGACAAGGAACGCTACGACGAACCGCCACGCGCCGACGACGACGACGCACGCCGCGGTACTGGCGTCCAGAACAACGCTCTTCTCGACCCACACAAACGAGAACGATGGCGTCAATGCCTCTGCCCGTACGTTTTACTCAGTAAGAACACCACAGCCATGCCTCTGCCCGTGCCACCGTCTCCATCGTGGCCTCGCCCTGCGACGGTTCAACATGAGCCGGTTTCCCCTCGCATTTTGTGCTCAGCTCATCACTGGTGGCGTAGATCCAAGGGCGTTAGGAGTTTTGTTCGCCGAACCCCTTTCACCGCCTCATCAAGGCCTCGCCGGAGCACCTCCGCGTCGTGCGTCTCCTGGTTCAGAAACCCTCGTCTCCCGCAGACGGGCGTACACATGCACACGAGGAGCACCCACGCCCACGCAGCCACGGCCACACCGGCGTACAGGAAGAAAGCACACTAGCATGGCGTACGACAGTCGACAGCCGGTTCAACCGCACAAATAGACCAGACGGCCAGACGAGGAACGCACGCTGCGACGACGGACGAATGCAACAATGAACTATTAGTACTAGCAACCAATCAAGAATTGCGGCTAACTGCTTCTTGAACACCAGAGACAACGAGCTTAATCTGATGCCGTCAATGACCGCCGCTTGATCAGCTGCGCACAAAAGCCTGATCGAGCCCCAAGGGGGGTTCGTAGCTAGTTTAAAACGCCGAACCCCATGTTTTCCTTTTTTACTAGGCAAGAACGCCACCACCGGCCTCTGACCGTGCCACGCCGGTGCACCCGAGTGCTGCCGTCGCATCTGTTAAGAATTGGTTGGATTGCCACGTTTCCAATCAAACCCAAGCCAGCACAAGAAGCATCACATATCAGCAGGAGCAGCAGAAGCTAGCACTTGGAGACGATCGAACAGAAGAAAGCTAACGCAACGGACGGAGAAGCTATGCCGGGCGCCATCACAAACAAGGTCCGCGTCACGGTCACGGTAACACCGGTATACAGGAAGAAAGCACACTGGCACGTGCACGCATGCACGATGCATGATCACGCGGCATCTCCCACATAACCATGAACTGATTACTCCTATATCCGTTCCAAAAACCCTGGAAAGGGACAGATCGCAGGCATAGTTATTAGACCGGACCGGTGATCAAACCGGTAAGGCACTCGGGTCATTGGTTTATTGCTCGGACCGGTCAAACCGCCGGTTTAAACGGGTTCAAATAGATGTTTGTTATATTGGTTTCACAACAAGCCGCATAGACTAGTGGTGGAGGCTCTCCATGGAAGCATGGAGGTTTTGGGTTCGAATCACAAGTTCTGCAGCTTTTTCCGTATTTCTCTCCAACTTCACGTGATGCGACGCGTTCCAGCGGTCGAACCACACCGGTTTTTGTCCGGTTCTGCAGTAAACCGCCCGGTTCAACCGGTTTCTCGCCGGTTTGATTGCAGACCGATCTTTTAGCTGGACCGGACCGGCCGGCGCCCTGGTTCTAGTTTTTTCTGGTCGGACCGCTGGTCCAGTCCAGTTCTAATAACTATGATCGCAAGTCAGAATGCATATTAGAACATTAAAAAGATCTCGTCCTGATCTGATGATAAGTTCATAACTGATTCTGGTAAGAGTTTCCATATTAGAACATCAAAGATTTTTGGTGCTTGTGCGTTCACTGTTCAGACGACGGGGAAGGGCGATACGGAGATGAGGGGTGTAGAGGAAGTGGGGCAGGCGGCCGGACAAGGTGAGGAAGGCGGTGACGGAGGAGTTTCCCTGCCGTGGAACCCGCCGAAGCTCCATCGCCGGTAGTGCCGCCTTGCCTAAGCTTTGTCTAGATTTGGTGTGAGAGATGACTGTTAGCTTCAAGCGACAGCGACATGAAGAGGAGCAAAGTAGGGAGGGGGAAGATGAAGGTGAGGGCTTGATGGAGACTTGGGAGAGCTCTCCCTCACAGCCGCTCGGCCTCGTCAGCTTCCTCTACCATTTCCGCCATTCAACTTCCTCAAGGGAGACGACGACTAATAGGCTTGCACCGGTGGGTCGGGTTCCCTGCTATCCCTTCTCCTTCCCTTTTCGCCGCCGCCACCACCTCTTGCGACCTCCACTAGAACAAAAGCTTCGTCGCCCGTGCCATCGAGGTGTTCTCCCTATGCTCCTCGCTCCTCACTGTGACACTAAGATGGGGAAGGAAGAAGATAAGGGAGGGTAAAAGGAAGAAGATAAATCTGATAGGTGGGTCCCACGTGCAAAGGAGGAGATGGATGGAAAATGTAACGAGAGTGATACGGTTATAATTTTGTAAAATTTCAGTAGCAAGGCTACGAATAATTAAACAAATAGAAAATTTGTATTTGCATGGATCGAATTAACCCTTAAAAAAATTGGGAGGTAGTAGTACATAACAAATCACCACATGACGTAACAAATCACCACATGACAAAAACCTGTCCTAGACTCCCAAGTACGGAGTAGTACCTTAGTACACCACCATTTCATAAGCCTTGTTAGCACTATTAGTCTTTACCTGTGTGACAGGTAGGGTAGCCACTACTACCAAATTTATCACATTTTACTCCCAAACTTTCCTCATCACATTTTTTTTCCAACCATGCATTTCCCCATGAAATATCTCACTTCTCCACGAATCTTGTCAATTTTTTAACACTTTTGTGCAGAAATGAAAGAATCTTGAGTAGACCGTTCAATTTTCAATCAGACCGACTGAGTTTTGATCAATTTTGTCAGTCTGTCGAATGGCCTTTTAGTCTAAATTCGTTTTTGTCATGAAATTTTGGAACGTTTATATTCAAATATCTGTTTTCTCAATATTTGCCCAAAAATTGACAAAAGTTGGTGAAAAGAGCCGCTTCAGGCAGGGTTCTCCAGTTCGTTACTAGTAGGATATAAAGGCCACCGCCAAGGCGCCACCCTGACCCACCACCCCCGTCCACGGCTCGTTCCCTCCCCTTCTCGCCTTCGACTAATCCCCCTTCTCGTCTGGATTGCGGGCGTCATGGCGGTGCCGGAGAGCGGCGGCGCCGGCAAGGGGAGCAATGGAGAGGCGGTGGGTTCCGGTGCAGTGGACAAGCACGCCGCGGTCGTCCGCCGCGCGGCGGGGATAGCCAGCGTGGAGGCCAAGCGGAGCGCCACCGCGGATGTCCGCCGCGCGGCGGGGGCTTCCGGGACCGTGGGTTACCCCGACGGCGGCGGGCGCCGGGACGACGAGCCCGTCCGCGAGGAGCTGCACGGCAGCGGCGGCGACTACAACGACCCCTCCAAGTCCAAGCGTGTCCGCGGCGAGCCCCACGTCGAGCGCGCGCTCTCCGCGGTGTTCCGCGGCGAGGAGACCCACGTCGAGCGCGTGCCCAGCGAGGAGGTCTTCGGCGAGGCCGACGTCGAGCAGGACCTCGGAGATGCCGTGAACTACCTCCGCGGCGATGAGGACTACGTCGGCCGCGAGATCACCGTCGATGTTCGCTGCGGCGCCCACGTCAAGGTCAAGCGCGCCGCCGAGTTACCCGACGAGGTCCTCGTCGAGGAGCTCGATGGCCAAAACGACTGCGAGCTCACCGCGGTGTTCCGCGGCGAGGAGGCCTACGTCGAGCCCGCGCCGGGCTGGGAGGTCCGCGGCGAGGACGCCGCGGAGGCCTACGTCGAGCGCGCGCTCTCCGCGGTGTTCCGCGGCGAGGAGACCCACGTCGAGCGCGTGCCCAGCGAGGAGGTCTTCGGCGAGGCCGACGTCGAGCAGGACCTCGGAGATGCCGTGAACTACCTCCGCGGCGATGAGGACTACGTCGGCCGCGAGATCACCGTCGATGTTCTCTGCGGCGCCCACGTCAAGGTCAAGCGCGCCGCCGAGTTACCCGACGAGGTCCTCGTCGAGGAGCTCGATGGCCAAAACGACTGCGCGCTCACCGCGGTGTTCCGCGGCGAGGAGGCCTACGTCGAGCCCGCGCTGGGCGGGGAGGTCCGCCGCGAGCACGGCGAGGAGGTCCACGTCGAGCCCGCGCCGGGCGGGGAGGTCCGCCGCGAGCACGGCGAGGAGGTCCACGTCGAGCACGTCGTTGTACTGGACCACGAGCCGGTGGAGGCTACTGCGGGCTTGGTTCTCGGTGCTCCCGTTCCGGCGGCTGTACGCGCGGCCGTGTTAGAGGCTCGCGCTCTCAAGAACATGGAGGGTGCCAAAGCGGTCAGTATCTTGCGTTCTTTTGCTTCGTTCGTTTCGAATCATCTAGATGAACATGGATTTGGATGAATTGCTGTAGGATGCGCATCCTCGTTGGCTCCGATGGTGATTTTTTTTTTCTAGTAAATTTGCTGTGTTGGGGAGCGGCCTGTGCGCATTAGGATTTTTGTGATTCCTTTTGTTTTGATGGCTTATGGGATTGCATTTCTATTCAATCTGTTTCTGTATCTGTTTGGTAGCGTCAGATCAGTTTTAGAACAAAATTTCGGCCCAAAAATGGTTGCCCTGTCCTTTTGTTTTGTTGATAGTCCACCGGTTTCTTCTACTACCTGTGGACTCTTAATTTTTCATAGCACCCTTCTGCTCCTTTTGTTGGTAATTTCACTAATTTGTATCTCTTGCCTGCTCTATTTAAGAATAATCTCGTCATACTGTTTACTCACGTGTATTCTTATTTTTATTGTGAAACTGAAGTGTTTACATGAGGGGAATTAATGTGTACTTATTGGTAAATTTGTATTTGCTACAATCTTTTGTCTATTAAAGACTTGATGGACTCATGGAAGGGTGCAGTTATCTGTAAATTAGTTTAGTGTCTAATGTTTGTGCTCTGTTTTAGCTTGTTTATGCTCTTCTTAATTACTGATTCTCTGCTCATATTGTTATGTAATTTGGGCAGTCAGTCAAAAATTTTTCTTGTAAACTTGAAATGAAATGTTCGTGAACGTTGCTCATGTAAACCTTCATCCTTTCTGACCATTATAGCATTTGATATATTAATTTGGGTTGTGTTAATGCTCTTAGAAATTAGTTGGTGTTTTAGTTGTAAATGTTGTTATATTGTTATGTTTTGACTTTCTATACTGATGATTTAAACTGCAGTTCATGACTAAGAACAGAAGAGTTATTCTTCCTCGCTCTTTCTTATAACATATTATCTATGCATGTACCACATCTGTAGTTTCCTGTTTGCATGGAATCTTGATCATTGTTTGTTTACAGTGACTACTTAATTTTGTTAACTTGACACCATGTGATGTCTGAAATGTGTATTTGGTATTTTTCTGTACTGTGTAGAATATTTTGTCCCTTTTGTTTTCTGTTAAGATCTCATTACTGTAGAAAGTTTGTAAGAAATGCCCTAGGCGTCATCTATTTCTGGCTACACCCTTTGGATTGATGGCTTGGTTTGTAGGTTCTCTTTCATTGGTAGCTTCTCTCTGTTAATGTACTCTTAAGATGTGAGCAACATTTTTGCTGTTTCAGTTTCTTGAAAAAATGCGAGCACGGATAAATTTGTGCCGTGCATTGGATAAATTGGATTGTTCTTTACACTGCACTTTGTTTAGTTATGTATTCGAGCGCTTTTGTTTTGGCATAGCTGATATTTTCTGCTGCAGGCTAAAGAAGCAAGAAAACTTTGGGAGCGCGGGAACTTAAATGGTAGCAACAATGGTTGCAATTCCAATTCACCCTCGCCTTCTGAGAAAAGAAGGTTTGCTGACCCTAAAGAAAAGGTAAAAGTATAATAAAAAGTATTGCTGGCTTACAAATTATTGCGTTGGATAAAATGAGACATATTTCCTTCCCCATTGTTTTGAGTCATATGTGACTCTTTGTTTTTCCTTTTCAGATTTTTCAGAAATTTGATGTAGAGGCCTCCTACCTTACTGGGAATGAAGACAGTGATAGCAAGTACAGACGTTTGGTTGATTTATTCAACCAAATGATCTCTCTGATGGAAGCCGTTGAACATGGTCTGTCACTTGAAGATTCTAAGGACCTCGAACGTGAAATGAAATCAACTATTCACGAGATAAGAAAGGTCCGTCAGACTATAAGAGTGATGGGTGGCAAAGCCCCAAATACCCCACCAGAGTTTCTATTCAGAGATGTCTTAGAGTAAACATTCTTCGTGAAGAGGTTTCGGCTCTCTGTCGTGATTTCTGTTGTGTCCTGATTTCTGTACATGAATGAATTTGTTTAGTTACTGACTCAAAGTGTTGCCTATGATTCCTGGTAGTTTTTTTGGCTGGGTTTTTTTACCAAGGCTAGCAGAGGGTGGTCTGCTCCAGTAGTTCTGTCCCAGACCCTCTATGATTCTCTCTCTTTTGCTGCACTCTTTTACTCCTTTCATGTAAAAACTCTATGATACATTTGTAGTAATGGAAATGGGGCCATGCAGCCCTTGATAAAAAAAAAATGTTGCCTATGATTTCTGTGCATGACTATCAACTGGTGCAGATGTTGAGTTCTTTGTTACTCGATTTCTGCATACTTGGATAATTCTTACTATGCCACTTTGGTTAATGCATGGTTTTAGCTCTCTTAGTCTGATAAACACTAAGTTTTGGAGAACGAATGCACATACAAATGCCTTTTCTTAGAACACATACAGATTGAATGTACAGATGCTCCCAACAATGCAGATACTGGAATTTAAAATTGGTTCCTGTGTTAAGAAAGTTCTTTATGTCCTATGTTGACATGGGCGAAAATCCCACTAGTTCTATTGAAATTATACTGTTTCATGTACATTTTGTGCCTTGGCTCTGGCGTTTCTTTCTTTGAGCCTCATCGGTTAGCTTAATAAGTCAAAGAAAAAACCAAAATTTAAAATTTCAAACTTGATTTTGGAGTTAATCTTAAGATATTTTCAACGTAATTTTTTTAGCGTTGGCTTTTTAAGTCGCTACGAACAAATATATATAAGTTTTAAATATAAATTAATTTTTATTCCCTAATAAGCCGTTTTGACTTATTAGGGAATATGGGCAACCGAGGAGGCTTTTCATTTCACAGATAAACGACCCAGGTCTTTGTGCTCGGTCAATCATTGGCAAATAATTAGTAGTACTACAGAACTACAGATAACAAAAAAAAAAATCAATAGAATACACTTCGAGGTATCGCCAATGTATCATAGTGGCACTGAGGTGAGGGCTATAAATGGAATATTTAATGGCTCTTTGTTGTTCCTACTTGTGCTGTTAGTACTTTAAATGTCATTAATACCGGATATTACCACAGCAGTTCATATAAGATGATAGTATCTCCAAAGTTTTCGTCAACATCCTCTCGGTCTATCCAGGAAGTGGCACACGTACACCTCCTCAAGCCTTCCGTGTTGTACGTTCCGGAGTTAGAAGAGTTAATTACTCACATGGAGTGCTGCTTGCCTCTTAATTAAGACGCAAGTCGTTGACAGCAACCTCCTTGTTCTCTCATTCTTCTTGTCTGAATAATGTCTCGGTTAAAGAAACCATTCAATCTAAGAGGCAAGTTGTTTTTTCAAATTTGCATGACCCTAGTTGACACATGAGTTCAGAAAATGCATGTACGGGAACAAGATATTGGTAGCGTCCTATGTTAATTAATGAGTTAGGGAATCTGCAATGAGTCAAATCAAATACATTTTCTAATAGTACTTTGCGGGCTTAAGGTCAGGGCATAAGTTATTGCATACTTCGTAGAATTCATTTAGAATGCATAACTAGATACTCCCTCCATCCTAAAATATCTGACGTCATTGACTTTTCTTAAAAATGTTTGACAGTTCGTTTTATTAAAAAAAATTTAAGTAATTATTAATTTTTTTCTATCATTTGATTTATTGTTAAATATACTTGTATGTATACATATAGTTTTACACATTTCACAAAATTTTTTAAATAAGACGAACAGTCAAACATGTTTAAAAAAGTCAACGGTGTCAAACATTTAGGTAACGAGGGAGTATTACGTAATCTAGTGAAGCGCCTGATCCAGTTGAAGCGATGAGGTGGGATCACCTTGATTTCAATATTGTAATGCTTGTACTCGTGATCATCAGCACAAACTGCAATAACCTTGTCATACGCCTTTCCCCGTTCAAAAAAATTGCATATGAAGTTGTGCATTGGTATGACTGTAAGTCTGTAACCATCCTACTATACATTATTTATATGAAAATATATTAACGATATTAGATGAAGAAGAATTTGTTTTCATTATAGTCACACATTTGCGCAACCACAACTGTCATTTATATTTATATTATTTAGCTTGATTTACTTTTTTAAATATATGATAAAAAATCATTAATTCACCACAATTTATTGCAAAATTTACATCCACGTGATAAACTAAGTTTACATAATAATAATAATAATAATAATAATAATAATAATAATAATTATTATTATTATTATTATTATTATTATTATTATTATTATTATTATTATTATTATTATTCATTGTCTTCACCGCTGCACCAGTCGCCGCGTTTTCACCTCTTCCGATGTTACATGACCCCCTTGTTCTCCCCTTAGTTTTCATTGGTGCATCTGCTTTATAGCTCGTGCATATAGGTACATTTCATCCTGTATATTTCAACTTACATAATACATTAAAACTGAAGTTTAAAAGCCATCCTCAAAACAGGGCAATTTCAATGGTATTTTCCAAACACTGGTTCTGCTCTTTAAATACCAAGCAAATTAAATTGACTACTAAGAGGCTAGAATAAGTAAACCTAGAGTCCACGGTGTCACAGGCTGTTTGTTATGCTGATCTTTTCTGCTTGTATTCAAGCGTCAAAGAGTTCTCTTACCCAAATTCTGTTATGCTAGTAGAATATTAATCAGTCCTCCAAGTTAAGAGTCATATCAAACAGGGAAATGAGAAAGGATTATATTGCACCTTGTACTTCTGTTCATCAGGCATCCAAAGTTTCAACTATCATATATTCCATTTCTCCATTCACATGGAACAACAAATATATATGTGGCAATGTGACGCTTGCAGCAAGCAGTTCAGCATGCCACTGATGCTGTCTGAATATCTTGATTAATCTGAGGATGATGCAGTTCATGCATGCCGCTGATGCTGTCTGAAGATCTTGATTAATCTAAGATAAAGATGTACGCAGTTCAGCTTAAAAACACCAGTACATCATATACAATCTCAGATGAATCATACGTAATGGCTATTAAGACTTTCCATGATTCACTCTTCAATGACCATTCCATGTATATATTTTCCAATACCAGTCTCAGTTATTAAAATGGAAGCGACTCCGGCTCGGGCGTCTGACGAGAGGGGGTTAAAATCGGGCGTTGATGCCAGCATGACGTCAGCGCCACGCATGCGTGCAAAACTATTTTAAACTGATTTTTCTCTTAAATTACTTATCCAAATCATGATTCGATTGCACCACTAAATTTGTTGCAATTAAATCTTCAAAACAAGACTACACATGGATATATTCCGACGAAAAAAAAATTAGCCTACTATTGAATTATTTTTAAATGTTGCACGATGTTCCACCAGATATATCGGAATTGTTTCACTAAGTAGATCGAAAATGTTTCACTCATTTAAATCGGGTGTTGTTTCACCTTATATAAAAACAATGTTTCAGCAAATAGGCGAAAAAATGTTGCAGTTCACTGCAATATTAAATCTATACATAGTGAAACATTATAAGTACACTAGGTGAAACATTTTTGGTGGAAAAAAATAAAATGAATTCCCTTAATAGATGGTTTCCAAAATATGTGGGTGATTTGTTGCAATGGAGTATTTCAGTTCACTGCAACATTAGATCTATACATAGTGAAACATTGTGAGTGCACTAGATGAAACATTTTTTGTGGAACAAAAAATAAACCAAATTCGCTTAATAGAGGGTTTCCAAAATATGTGGGTGATTTGTTGCAATGGAGTATTTCAGTTCACTGCAACATTAGATCTATACATAGTGAAACATTGTGAGTGCACTAGATGAAACATTTTTTGTGGAACAAAAAATAAACCAAATTCCCTTAATAGAGGGTTTCCAAAATATGTGTGTGATTTGTTGCAATGGAGTATATGGTGGAGATACATGGTGGGGCCAGGAGGGAGACAATGCGCATCAGGAGGGGGAGCGTCCGATCCGGCTCCCCCGCGCCGGTCGCCCGGTAGCTATCATTCTCGTATTAAAATCCATGGTTGTGAAAGAAACATTTAAATATGCACATTCCAACTAATTAGAAGAGGTGGTGTCTTTTCACGCTCATAAATTCTTGAGGTTAATGGGCTAACGGCAGGTCATTTTAATCAAAATATCAAATTCAGAAACAGGGCAGTGCGACCATAGATTTGAGGAAATTGTGAACCAATCTTGCATTCTTCGTTACCTAAATTTGGTCATAGCGAGTGGTAATAGCAACATACAGTAAAAATGTTTATTAGAAGGATTTGATCACCTTACGGTACTGCATGCTATTCGCGGCAGTCATGTAGCATTGCAGGAGCACTGCCACCAGCTTCACAGTTCATGGAAGAGGTGGGGGCCGGGGCTTGTCTTGGGTAGCCATAAAATATTTCTGTGAGAAGCAGTAATCCTTGGGTCTCTACTGTAGCTATCACCTGCAGTACATTCCTGATATCAGTTTCAAATTGTAAGGTTTGATCTTGTTTTCTGTTTAAAATGAGACATCTTCTTCTTTATATAAAACTTCGGCAACTGCCTCACCGTTGGAAAAAAATTATCAATTTCAAATTCCTTGGTAGATTGTACTTGATACATGCTCTTAGTTTCCTTGGGCTAATGAGGCAATCTGATGACTCATTGTACATAGTAAGCTAAGGTGATTACAAATATACTGGTCATTATCTGAAAAGCGTTGTTATTATCCAAAAAAAAAAATCGTATCATGGTCAGCGTTAATATTAGTCAACCTGTATGTCTGTGAACTTGGCAATATTAACGCTGCCTAATATATCTATCAAACAGTTCTACCCTTTTTGTATAATAATATAAGACAGTTCTACCATGATATGATATGATACAACGTTAATATAAGACAATTTATTATGCTTGCTGTGATATTTGCCATCTGAACTTTTGTTGAACACATCAAATGCCTAGGAATGTATTGAGTATATCAAAATAGGTACATATACGTCATGTGTCGATCTGATTTTTACTCAATGACAACTATTTTGACATCATGTTTCTTATTAATCAGTAATTTTAGGCATCCGGTACCAATTTCATTAATTTACTTGGCAAATTATGTAGTAGCTTACAGTAACTGCTCATCATTTTATCTTCATCAGCATTGTAAAAATTTCTATGTAAAATCCATCTAATGGAGCAACATTTTTGATTAACTGCAAAATGTTAAGACCAATCATCAGAACATATGCAGTATAATATCCCCATTTAAATAGATTTTTGTGTCAGTTTTGACAATTTACCTTTGAATCAAACTGTAGAGTTCTCATGCTGAATAATCGCACATGACCTGAAAACGTGAGAGAAATTAGCAT